TGGGGAGACATCCCTTTGACGAGGAGCGGCCGCCTCACGCCCATGTCGGTTGTCTTGTCTGGGCGGGGGCCTGTTCGTCTGGGGCGAGTTATGTCTTTCCCTGACGGGTTCCTACCGCGAGCGGTGTGCATAGTCTCTACAATCCGCGGTGTCGTGCCCGTAGGACCTATGGTGCAAACAGTATCCAGGGAGGTTCGGATTGGACCTATTTCGAGGTGCAAAACCTCGACCTCGGCCTCTCCCCCTACGGGGTTCCTGTTGGGCCTGCATCTGATGTGGGTCAGCGGTTGGGTTGACATCCTCATACGCCAAGGTTGGTACCGCGTTCAGGGTTGTGGTGGCCAGAGCTTGGCCGAAGTTCTCATTTCCAGATCGGTTCATCTGGTAGTCCATAAGGTGGGAGGTCGGACCCCTACCTCGCTGTCTCTGAGGAGGTGGGAGGCCCCTGCTTGCCCTGTTTCTATGCTCAATCAATTCTTCATTGATTATCTCCCTTCTCATCATCTATAGTAGGGCGTCATAGGTGGTTCGGTCTTGATTCTGCACATCCCTCCAGAATAGGGTGTTCATGTTCAATCCTCCTCTCAATGCAGATAGTGCTTCCCTGTCGGTGACTTGTACACAGTAGGTCATCTCGTCGGTGAAGTGGGATAGGAAGCTTTTCAAGGACTCGCCATGTGCCTGTCTCATGTCTTGAAGACGCTGAATGGGGGCCTCTCCTTCCTTGCTCACTGCAAACCTCTTCAAGAAGGTAGTTTTGAAATCGGGCCAGCTTCGGATGCTCCCAGATGGTAATCTACTATACCAGATTTCAGCCGCTCCACTGAGGGTTAAGTGGAATGCTCTGCACTTCACAGCTGGAGTGGCGTCCCTCAGGCTCATGTGAGTTTTGTAAGCGTTGAGGTGCTTTTCTGGGTCACCTCTCCCGTCATACTTTGGCATTTTCGGCATGACATAGTGGCTCGGGACCTGGGCATCTCTTAGTTCTCTTGAGAATGGTAGGTTCTCATCATCATCGTCCAAGTAACAGGACCTCTGTTGCTCATCAGAATCGTAATCTTCGGCCTCGTACCTAGGTTGTTGGTGAGAGGGTCCTGGCCGGTTCCTAGCCTCTTCCTCTCTCCTTTGCGGCCTACTTCTAGGCGGGACAGCGCGGGGGGCATTTTCATGCCTTCTCTCCGACCGTTGGGGCATCGGAGGTGGAGGCTGTGGCCTCGTCCGAGGCTGCTGAGCCTGCTGTTGACTGGGCCTTGGTTCGACAGGGCTGATTCTGTCAAAAACACTTCCTGCTCTCCTCTGTCTTGGGTCTTGCTCATACGGAGGTGGGAAGTTATCATGGCTCATTTGGACCTCGGAGGGTCGGCCAGATGCATAATTGGAGGAAATGTCAACTCCCACTTCCCTCACGAATGGACTTTCACCTCGGCCATAGTCTGGCGAGGTTGCTCTATGACTTTGGACCTCGTCCTCTTGCTGATAGTGCCCATGGGGGGCATATGGAGGAATGGGGAAACCTCCTTGGCCTTGCATCTGGGCCATGAGCTCCCTCATGGCCAAGTTTTGGTTGGCTATATCCCTCATGTTAGCTGCCATAGTAGCCATTTCTCTTGATAGTCGTGCCGTCGCACGCATCCCGCCTCTCCTTTGGTGGTGGTGGAGCCTCTGCCGAGCTACTGGGGCAGCAGGCTGGGGAGGCACATTCGTGTTTTCTCTTACCCTCCTTGGGGGAGTATCTTCGTTAGAACTCATTTTTTCCTTTATCAAACTTAGATTTCTCCAAGTGGTAGGGGTTCCTCCTGTTATCTTTCGAGAACAAGTCCTTTTTCAAGGGGGGTTGCCCAAATATTTTTTTCAGCAAGCTTTTACCACAAGGTTGCTCGTGGTTATGGTATGGTTTCCCACAGACGGCGCCAATCTGTTGACCCCAAAAAGTGCGCCAACAGATGCCGGTCCCACCCGCGCTTGCGTGGGCGAATGTCTAACACGCTAAGACACGTAGACGGTCTACAATAAGCGGTTCAAATGGGCGTGGGAGTAGCCCAACGACGCGGGACGGTGACGTTCGGAATCCGGCGAGTTATTCGTGGTCCGATTGTAAAATAATTACTAACCGGTGCTCGTCAATGTATGTATAAAAGTGCATAAATTTGATTTATGTATTGCAAGTGAATGAGAGAGAGTTGAGCAAATGCAGTCTTTAGTATTGATTCTTGCATTAGTCCTTTGACACTATACAATGGGGGTATTTATAGTGATACATATGGAATGGGGACCCTTGGATGAAGTGGCACGTGGCCTCATCTCCATAGTTTAAATGTCTGTTCATAGGCATGGGATTTGACTTGCTAGCTTACGGCGCATTTATTGTTTGTGCAGGACCTCCACGCTAGTGACAAGACTTGACCTTTATGCTTATGACAAACATTCCATCAATCATTCGAATAAGATCTGTGCAGGGGATCCCTTGGGAGAAGTGACCATGGAGGATGTTTCCTTGTGGTTGAGGTTCGCACATCAACTTCGGGGCTTCGTCCATTCGAGGACCTCAGCTACAACAAAACCTTCCACGCTTCGGGCCATGGGCCTCGGTTAGAAGCAGTTCGGGTGTAACCTACCTCGGCAATGTGGGCCACCTTGGCAGGAATGCCACGTGGATCAGGATGAGTGGCCTACTGGCCCAGGTGGATAGGACAAGTGTGACAACACGCAACAAAATCCTTATTCAACTTGATTTTTACCAAAGAGTTTGAATTGTTTTCTACTAAAGATTTTAAACTAGTTTCTACCAAAGAGTCTAAGAAATAAAAGGAAACAATTTCAATTTTTAATCGAACTCCTCTCATGTAACATTATTCCTCCATCATCTTTTATTTTGTAACTAAGTCATCTTCATTCCAAAATCATAATAGTTGACTCGAGACATGTTTCAAAATTTGCAAGTTAGTCCTCAACTTTTCAAATGTCCAATTTATCTCCCAAAACTCATGAATTTTTACTGTATGCTCCATTAATATTTCCAATTGATCTCTTGCAATCAAGTTAATCTTCAATTGCTTCGAATAAACTCCAATTAAGCTCCAAATAATCTCTTTTAATATAAATTGTATCTAAGTTGGTATTGTCCTACAATTTTTATAATTTACACAAATTAAGTAAATAATTACTTAATTAATATATAATTAAATGAGAATAGAAGTTTGAATAAGTGCATAAAATGCACTTGTCATTTATCAAACATGTACTTAGTGTATTTGTTTGTGTAACACTTGATACTGTATTAAAAATTCAGAATCTGAATCTTTTGTATTCTTTTAGATCTTACATGCGTGTACTATTTGGCAGAATATTGTTAAGAAAATGTGGAAAGTGCGGAAGAAAAGATGCATAAATAAAAACAACTTTCGGAATGAAGGAGATTAAAAAGGAAAAAAGAAAAAAAAGGAGATTAGTTCCTTCTTTTAAGAAGTTCAATTTGACTATGTTTAGTAGCTTGATTTGTAGATTGTAAGATGGACATAATTTTTAATTTGTTGTTATTCAAATTAAAAAGAATTATTAGTTTTACAAAAATCATTGAACTCTAAAAGTCGATGGACACCTCTTAACTTTTACTGTACTATTAATATTCTAAATTACTAACTAAGGAAATTATAACGAACGTTACCATAATCCGTCTTCATCGTATGAAATCCTAGTTCATGTTTGGAAAGGAGAAGTTCTAATCCTCTGTAAATATGGTTGGATTGCTTCATTATTTCCCCACGCACAAACACAGTTCTTCGTTTTCTTTTCTCCTTTAAGCAAATAGCAATGGCTAATTCTCATCTGTTTACCTATGTTCCTTTGTTATTTCTTGCACTTTCTCCCATGAGTAATGCCATGCAAGTTCTTCCGAAATTCCGGTATTACGTTACCTTGAAGTGTTATCAATTCGACAAAATATATCAAGTTGGTGATTCCATATCCGATACTGGCAACTTGATTGGAGAGAGCCTGATGGGGTCTCTTCTACATTTGCAAGACATCCTTACGGCGAAACTTTTTTCAAGAATGCAATTGGTAGATGCTCGAATGGCTTGCTAATGATTGACTTTATTGGTAAGTCACGATAACTAATTTTTGGTATTGAACTAAAAAAAATCATGATAATTAAGTGAAATTGTATTGTTTTTACAGCATTATCAGCTGGTTTTCCATTACTAAAACCTTACAAAGAAATGGGAGCAAACTTCGCACACGGTGTAAATTTTGCAATAGCAAGCTCGACGGCTTTAACAGTAGAAACATTGGCTGCTAACAATACTTTATCTCCAAAAACCTCAAATATACTCGATGTTCAATAGGATTGGATGCATTCGCATTTCAACTCCACATGCCACGATCAAATAGGTTGGTAAATCATTCGTCTAGAACAAAATTTATAGATGAAGATTGTGCTGAGAAGAATGCGAATTCTCTTTTCATGGTTGGAGAAATAGGTGGTAATGATTATAACTGCACATTATTCTAAAGGAAATCTGTTGGAGGAAAGAGATGTTTACTAATTTGGATTGGTTAAGGCTTAATAGAAGGACGAAACTATTAAGAAATAAGTGATCAAAAAGAAAACTTGTATTTCTCAACTCCAAAACTTACGCACTTGGCTTGCTACAAAATGGAAGGACTATATTCCTTTATATAGGGTTTACATAAAATATCTAGACCACAAATTTTTCTAGAGATTCCTAAATCACATATTTACATGAGACTTTTTTTTACCACATATTTGGACAAGATATTTTCCTAGAATATTATAGATAGAGTTTATAAAACCACATAATCTTCTTAACACATTATCACATTTTTTACTTAGATATTTACATAGATTTTTCTAGACAATGTCTCTATAAATGTTTGGCATGTTGGGCTTTTTGATTGAATTGGGCGCATCCTTAAGCACATATTATTTAGTCCAAAATCAAGTTTACTACTCAATCAAATCCATTCAAGAACTAGAAGATATGGTACCGCAAATTGTTTGTACCATTGCCAATCCTGTCAGGGTGAGTTTCTCTTTTTCTTGGACATTCTTCTGGTTTTATTGTTTTCTCTTATATATTCTAATTATACACTTTCTTTTTATTATGTAGAAAGTAATTCGTAATTTTGGGGATATTCGAGTGGGCGTCCTGGTAATTTCCCTATCGGTTGTCTTCCAATATATCTTACCGGTTTCCAAACAAATGACTCGACTGCGTACAATGAAAACTCCATTGCCTTAAAGGCTTGAATAACTTTTCGAAATATCATAAAGAGCATTTGATACATGTTGGGCTGTGATGACCAATGATCTTTTCTGGGCTGTGATGACAAATGGGCTAAAGCCCTATAACTGTTTTAACAATTTAGGCTCTTGCCCAATAACATGACCCGATCCGCCCGACCCAATGGTAGATAAAACGTGTTTTTGGCGTGGCATATTTTAATGCAGCCAAACACGCCTTTCTTCAGTTATATGGATGCCTCTTGACCGTCAGATTAAATTTGATCTAAGGGTGCCTTTTGTTGTATATATATACTTGGCCCCTTTTGCCCTAATTTACTTGGACAGTCATTTTCCCTTCTCTCCAGCTGCGGCTGAGGTTCGAGAGTCTTCCATACCTTCTGTTCTTCTTCTTCGTGAGAATCCAATCTCTGATTAGATCTAGTTTCTGTGTGATTCCGTCTTTGTGATACATAATACTGTGTGTATTGGAGAGTTTGGTGTGTGATTTTACCCCTTGTGGTTTCCTTTAATTGATAGAGGAAAACCTTAGGGTTTGGGGCGATCGGTGTGGGTCATATAGAAGGGTACAATCCTGTATTTTCTTGAGTCTGAGCCCTATTCTAGAAAGGAACTTCATCTTGATGCCGTGTGGTTTGAGTTCTCTGTGAACGACTGGAGGATTTCATTTTCTGTCTCACTGTTTCTTGTAATCTTTCTTGTTTATTTCTGTGGTTTTGTACTGATAGTTTGTTGTAACAATACAAGCCATTGAGGAATTGAAGATTGAACATCCAAATACTACTATTATCTATGGTGATTATTACAATGCTTTCGTGTGGGTTCTATCCCAAGCACCATTTTTTGATAAGGGAACAAAATATATATTAATTTTTACAAATTTTTGTAGTTTGGGTTGTTTCGATGGTTAATGAGTAGAATATTCTTATTTTCTGCAGGATTTGATTTGAATTCTTTACAAAAAGCTTGCCGTGGAAGTGGAGGAACTTACAAGTTTAATCTAACAAAGATGTGTGGTTTACCTGGTGTTTCTGTCTGTCCCAGTCCATCCAGATGCATGAGTTGGGACGGGATTCATCTGACTCAACATGCATATAAATTAATGGCGGGATGGTTGATTCGTAGCTTCTTACCGAAGTTGCAAAACCATGTTTAGATGCTCTTCTTCTTAAACATATTGTTAATTTAGTACAGATTGTTCTAGTTTTCTGGTCTTTAGTTCTATGATGTTTTCCTTTTTAGAAATTTAGTTTGATAGGGTTCTTGATTGTATTGAACGTATTTCAAGTTTTATTTGGAAAGTTGTTATTGAATCGAACAATATTAAAAGGAAATAAAAAAGGTTAATATACATATTCCATTTAAAACACTTAAAATGAAACATATGACAGTTCAATGATGGCATAATTTTCATAGATTTGAAGCTTGTCTGACCTCATCAAGATTTATCCTAATTAAATCCAACTCCAGGTCTAACGAAAAAAATTTTGGTACCTTACTTCGATTTGGCCTGTACTAACTACTAACAGTAATGTAAACGAAAGTATGTAAAGGATTAGTTTGTTTTATCTTATAGAAGAGTTAAACTACCTGTACAATGATTTTGTATTGTCAAACTAATTATACGTGTAGCAAAACTCCTTGTAGAATGAAAACAAATCTTAGCAAAATCCCTCTTAAAAAATATGAGAATATAGAAATATAAATTTGAGCAATATGGACTATAATAGTCCTATAAATCCACCTCTCTAGGACCCTTGTATAGGAGAAAAACTTACTTGCCATCATTCTTTTATTCTCAAGCTACTTCATTTGAAATTTTGGAATTGACTGAGACGTCGAAGAGGTTCTTGAAGAATATAACACAATCTTAGTTTTGGATGCGAGCCAACAAGAAAGAAAGACAAAAACAACAAAGAGATATGATAAATCTCAATCAGACTATAAAGAAACCTCTCATTCATATCGTATCCAAACTTTTAAGAAAGAAAAACTCTCTGTCACAAAACTTATATATTAACGTAATTGTATACATGAGCGCCTAAGCACTAAATTGTTATTAATTATACTTGATCTAAGCTTACTTGAGCCATACAAAGTAATTTTCACTCCCATGAGAAAACTCATGGAAGTAAATAAATAAAGTCAATCGCCAAGTAAAAAATGAACATGTGATGTGCCCAAATAAGAGGGAAGAAGGCGAAGAAAATACACTCCTTGTGCTTGTAAAAATCGATCAATCTACAGAAAAATCATACTGTACTATCAATCCTCAAATTGTGTGCACGTGTAGAGAAAACATATATATATATAAATAATAACCAGACAAAGATATGCATATTCCTTTAACTTCTGTCCATTTGTTGTCAACTTGTTTACTCAATTGCTTGAAATTTAAGGATCCTTTAAAGAACATTGTCTGTTCATTTCAATCTCCAACAACAAAAGTAATGGGAATTAAAAAAATCCCCCACTTTCTCAGGCCCAAGAAACCCTATACTACAATTTCCAGTTTACTTGCAATGCTTCCTTTTCGACTGGCAAATCGAGTTTAATTCTTACGCCATCCTAAGTCATATATCCATATGTGAATGCAGTCTACAGATTGGACAGCTCCAAAAAGAGTGTTTCTTCAAAATAACTTCCGCATTACACGCAGAGGGAAAATACTTAAATTGTGCATGTGGAGTCTGAGGTGCTTTTATTTTTTATTTTTTGGGTGGGGAGTTATCAATGGGCCCGAACCTTCCGGCCAATTGCTAAAAGACGTCATTCAATTTTAGCTTTGTCCAAAGGGAGTACTAAATTTTAACTTAACTTTTAATATTAGTCGCTCTCTTAACCTCGCATGTTTGAAGAGCCTTTCTACATTATTTAAATAGATCTAATTACTTGCAGATAAGTATCATTTATTGGACGATTTTAACGTTCTTACAATTAAATTATTTCAATAACACTTTACTTTACTTTTTTCGACATGTAATAAATACTATAAAGATAACATTCACATTAATCTAGATTCAAGGAATTTTAACTTGATGAATCTTGAATTACATGAATTTGGAGTTATTATAAGTGAATTTATTCCTATTCATATAACTAGAAATTTTAATGGATTATTTAATTTACGTATTAACAATTAATTTTTATGTTTCAAATGTAATATAAAAAGATCAGTATTCAGTGATTAATAACCTTCCAAAATATCGAATGAGATGATCGATTACAGAAAATAGGGAAGACTGAAAACTCTAACTCGAGAGAGAACTGAAAAACACTCTCGAACCTCACTCAAGAGTCATACCAAATGATAAGTCACTCAGCCAAACGAACAGTCAATCTCATTTATATCACCAGCATGTAAACCCTTCATCCAATGGTGGGAATTAAGCCAAGTGTCATCATCAGGTAGAATGACATTTATAAAAGCGTATTTTCATAACACCTTTTTGGTGGCTGAAAATATGGGAGCATAAATAACATGGTTCGAGTCACAACAATCTCCACCTTGCTACCATAATTTCTGTTTTAGTGCAGCCAGGAGACAATATCACTTTCTCCTTTCATTTGCTCCAAGTACCTGCAATGTTATCACATAGAATCAATAGATAATGACTTCAAACAATTTTTAAATTTGTTCAAAGGTATTATCTTTGTTCCCATATTAGATGGGTTATATTGAGTAGGTACTTTACCAATTTTCAAAACATCTTTTGAAATAATGTCTCTAATAAAGTGATACTTAATGTCTATGTGTTTAGTCCTATCATGATACATGAGATTTTTACTAAAATGTATAACACTTTGATTATCATAATATAATGTTTCATTTTCATCAACAATTCCAAGTTCCTTAAGTAATCCACTTAACCATATTCCTTCTTTAAAAGCATCAGAAGCGGAAATGTATTCTGCTTCAGTTGAGGATAAAGCTACAATCTTTTGTAATTGTAATTTCCAACTAATTACTGTACCACATAAGGTAAAGAAAGAGGATGAAGTTGATTTCCTATTGTCCCTATTTCCAGCAAAATTAGAATCAGTAAATCCCTTTAAGGTTACTCCTTCTTTGTTCATTTTAAACACAAGACCCAAGTTTGCAGTACCTTTTAAGTATCTTAAGAGCCATTTTAAAGCATTCCAGTGTTCTTTCCCAAGGTTACTCATAAACCTACTTAATATGCTAATGCTGAAAGCAAGATCAAGTCTAGTACCTACCATTAAGTACATCACAGAACCAATAACATTTGCATAAGGTATTTTTGACATTTTATCAGATTCTTCAAAAGTTTTGGGACAGAGATCAGAGGTTAGCTTAAAATGATTTGTAAGAGGCAGCGACATAGATTTACAGTCAAACATGTTGAATTTTTTCAAAATCTTTATCACATAATCATATTGATTCAAAAATAACATATTTTTCTCTTTATCTTTATAAATTTGCATGCCCAGAATCTTTTTAGCATTTTCAAGATCTTTCGAGTCAAATTCAGATTTAAGTTGTTGCTTAATATATTCAATTTCAGATTTATCACAACTTGCAAGCAACATACCATCCACATAATGTACAAGATAAAGAGAATGTTTACCTCTTTTACCTCTACAATACAAACATGTATCATAATTGCTCTTTTGAGAATCAAGTTTCAATACAAAAGAATCAAATCTTTTGTACCACTACCTAGGAGCCTATTTCAGGCCATACAGGGACTTCTTTAACAGACACACAACATTTTCTGAATTTCCTTTCACAAACCCAACTAGTTGTTTCATATAAATTGTTTCATCCAGATCTTCATAAAGAAAAGCAGTCTTAACATCCAACTGGTCAAGTTCCCATCCAAATTGAGCAACTAAGGCAAGTAAACATCTAATTGTAGTGTATTTAACTACAGGAGAAAAAATTTCAGTGTAATCTACACCTTCCTTTTGTGTAAACCCCTTTGCAACTAACCTAGCCTTATACCTAAGACTATTATTTCCCCCCTCACGTTCTTTTATCTTATAAATCCATTTACAGTCTATAAGCTTTTGACCTTTTGGCTTCTCAACTAATTTCCAGGTTTTATTTTTAAGAAGTGAACTCATTTCATCTTCTATAGCTGTTATCTAATGCTTAGAGTCTTTGCAGTTTATGGAATCTTCATAAGTGTTAGGCTCATTGTCAGTTTGTTCCTGATAGGTAAATAATGAAACAAAATCATCTGAATCATATCTTGCAGGTGGTCTAGTCTGCCTTCTTTCCCTATCTCTAGTTAATTGATATTCTTCAATGGGATAGGTTGGATTTTCAAACTCGTCATTAGTGTTATTATGCAGATTATTTTCAGTTTCATTTTCAGCATCATTTTCTGCATTAATCATTTCTGGTTCAACAGGTACATTTGTTTTTCCTTCAATCTTAGGAGGCTCCACCTCAATTTGTACATCATCAGAAGTCAAATTTTGTTTTCCTTTTAGGCATGGCATAAGGGATTCATTAAAGACAACATCTCTTCTAACAATCACCCTATACCCTTTCTCACCTTTAACCCACAATCTATACCCCTTCACATTTTCACCATAACCCAAGAAAACACATTTAAGTGATCTAGGTTCTAGTTTTCCAATATTTTGGTGTGCATAAGCAGCACATCCAAAAGTTTTTAGATGTGAATAATCAACAGAATTTTTAGTCCATACTGATTCAGGTACTTCAAAGTTTAGGGCTGAAGTGGGTGTTCTATTAACTAAATATGCAGCTATTTTTACAGCTTCACCCCAAAATATTTTTGACAAACCAAAACTTAATAACATGCATCTAACTTTATTTAGTAAAATTCTGTTCATTCTTTCAGCTATGCCATTTTGTTGAGGTGTATAGGTAACAGTGAGATGTCTTAATATACCATGTTCTTTACAGAAGTTATTGAACTCATGATTACAAAACTTCAGACCATTATATGGTCTTAATATTTTTATGTTGTGATCGATTTGATTTTCTATTTGTATTTTCCAGTCCCTAAAGACTGAAAAAGTCTCATCTTTAGATTTTAATAAGAAAATTCAGATTTTTCTTGAAAAATCATCAATGATCAAAAGATAATATTTAAACCCTGAAAGAGTGCACACAGATGCAGATCCCCACAAATCAGCATGCAAGTACTCAAGAATTTG